CCTGGGTAAAAGTGTGCAGAACTGCGGCATCTAAGAGCATTTTCCAACTCCCGGGATGTCAATGTTGGGTTTTCAGGCAGTCAGGAGTGGACGGGAGCAGGCTGCAACTGTCATTCGGTGCTTCCGGGAGAGACTTCACAGTCTCTGGCGGCAGCCCAACTGAGCGAGGATCAAAGGACCAATCTTTGCTTTCTGAGGGATTTCTGTTTCCTTTCTTCCCCTTTTAAGTATTTGGCTGCCTTTGGCTGGAAGGGGGCTGTTCAAACAGGACAACATTTGATGGGCCCATACTGGTTTCACTGGTTGCAGCTATGTTCCAAATTGTAAAGTGATGGCAGATGTTTTCCTTCCATAAAAAGCTATGTGAGAGCTGGAACTCTTGGTGAACAGTGCCATTTTCTATACTTCAGTGAGGCTGCCCAGCTGAGGAAATTTATAGGAGGGCTATGTAGGCTGAGTTTGGATGCCAAAAAGAAGATTGGGAAGTAATGGCTTTGCTGCCGGTGGCTTTTTAATAATATTATTTACTGATGAGTTTTGAAGGCTTTTAAACTGGCTTTCTGGGCAAACTCCAAGCTGTTGAATGGAACCAAAGCATAAAAATAAAGCAAAACGTCCGGCCTTAAAATAACACCTAGTTCAATGTACAGTGTTTTTCACCCTTGGCAAATTTAAGATTTCTGGACTTCAAACTCCCAGATTCCCCAGCTAGCATAGCTGGGAGTTGAAGTCCAGACACCTTAAACTTGCCAAGGGTGAAAAACATTGCGATAGAAGAGTAGTGTTTCTATTATTACGGTCAGACTAGAGTTATAGACAAAAGCATATTAAAAAAAATAAAATTGAGTAAAAACAAAAACTGGACAGGTACCAGTTAAAATTGATAAGCAAAGTCTGTCTAATTTTTACCAGCAATACGTATTTGGCACTAGGCAACGTACCCCATGGAGTCATTTTTTCAGTGATATTTCCTTATTAAACAGAAACAAACCGTCACTGAACATTGAAAATCAATTTGATCACATGACTGCAATAGCAGCCCATGAATGCAGCTGTCACTAATAGCCACAGTTCCCCAAATTTCATTCCTTCATGGATTCTGGATTTTTTGAGGGGGGGTGCGTTCTTTATTTTAGCCCATTTGAGGTAGCTTGGTTCAAAAATTGTTGCCCTCAGAGACAAGTTTCACCTGGTTAAAAAGCCACGAGAGTTTTAGCAGTATATACGATAAATGGCATTTCTTGAACAACAGTAATCAAGCTTCAAGAACATGGCTCCTAACTTAAAAGTAATTTGAAAGAGGTGGGATTTTGAAAATCTTCCCAGAGAGTGGAATCAGGCTTGTCATGAGGAGGGATAGGAGAGCTTATGCCGACCTGCCCTCTAGGCTTCCTAAGAGATGTTGGGATTGAAGTCTCACACATCTCGAGGACTGAGAATGGTTACCTGACTGTAAGGACTTCACTATCTCAAGCAGCAGAGATGATGAAACAGAAAGAAATAACTCATCCCTTCAGTCAAAACTAAAGAAGCTTCTTGGATGAGGAGCAAAATGTATTCCAGGAAAACAAAGAAAGTCCAGTCGCCTCTTGGGAAGAAAAACACCGTTGGGACAACCATGACCTGGATGATTGAGAATCTCCTGAGACAGAATAGAATAAAAAAGAATTATTTATGGCCAAGTGTGATTGGACCACAAGGAATTTGTTTTGGTGCAAATGCTCTCAGGGTACATAAAAAGAGAAGATACATTCGTCAAGAGTCAAGAATCATCAGGTACAACACTTAATAATAGTCACAGGGTACAATTAGGCAATCGAATCATATTAGGAAACAGTCAATATAAATTGTTAGGATACAAGCAACAAGGTTACAGTCATACAGTCATAAGTGACGGGATGGGTGAAAGGAAGGCTGGGATAGTAATAACCTTTCATTTAATGAAGGAATTCAGGCTTTTTTAAAAGGCTGAGATGGAGCACAATAAAATGTCACGTTTCCTCACCCAAAATGGATTGAGCATGATGCATCAATTCCCTTTAATAGAATAGAATTAGAACAGAACAGAACAGAACAGAATAGAATAGAATTCTTTATTGGCCAAGTGTGATTGGACACACAAGGACGCACATTATAGACATGAGGCTGATGTCTTTGAGAAGGCAAGTGTCACTTGTGCTCACTCAACCACTCTTGATATCCCTGTCTGTTGAGGGGGGGAAGGAATGCTGGATGCCCTTTTTTTTTTTTTTTAGAAAACCAGACCTGAACTGATGCAATGTTCATTGCTAAAAAGGTTACAATGCTATTGAGACCTTCAAATATTTGAAGAGCAGTTGCATAGTTAGAGGAGTGGCTGGCTTTCTAGAAAGTAGCATTGGGTTGAAATTACAAACATAAGAATTTCACAAATTCCTGCTGGATAGGTCAGCTGATTGGAAGTAAGATCGGGTTCTCTCTGTTTTATTTTTTAAAAAAAAACACCTGATTTTATGCAGACAGTTCAACAGTGGAGGAAATGCTTTTGTAGGTTTTGAATTAAATGATCATTTGAAATCCTAATAGTTGTTGCAATTTTGTAAGCCCAGCACTAAAAGCTGCACTCAAAATCCAACTCTTCTCTGTTGCAGTTATTTTCAAAGGATTTTCAATGACGTTTTCCCCCCTCATAAATATAATCCACAAGTTTCTCCACTTTGTTGAATTGTAGGTTCAATCTGGCCAACTCCCCTGTATATTTTGATAAAAATAATGATTCTTAGGTCATGGTCTTGATTTTTTTTTTTTTTTATAATTGTTGCGGAATTGACTTTTCTGCCTGCTTTCTCAGTGAAGACACTTATTTAAGATCCATGGTAAAGATGTTTGTGAGGGAGAGAGCCTTTGTCACATTTCTATCCGATATTCTGTTCTCAAGTTCTCTGTCATACCTGGAGAATGTCTAAGGAGATTTTTAGGATCATTTAGATAACGTTTGTAGAACAGACTGTGCTCTGATGGGAGTTTATGATTCACTTCTTTTTATCTTGGACAGAAATGACTCTCAATCTGGATTGCCAGAAAGAAAGTATTCAAAAACAAAAGAAACAGGCAGAAAAGAGTCTGAAATGGAGCTGAGTAGAAAAGGATTGAGATAGTTCTAAAGCAGGGAAGGTAGAAGGTGGACAAGGGTAGTGTAGAGCAGGGGTCTCCAACCTTGGCAACTTTAAGCCTGGAGGACTTCAATTCCCATAATTCCCCAGCCAGCTTTGCTGGCTGGGGAATTCTGGGAGTTGAAGTCCTCCAGGCTTAAAGTTGCCAAGGTTGGAGACCCCTGGTGTAGAGGAGTGATTCTCAACCTGAGGAAGTGTGGACTTCAACTCCCAGAATTCCTCATCCAGCCATTGCCAAGGTTGAGAAACACTGCTCTTAAAGATTGTAGGGTACTTCTAACTGAGTTTATTTCGAGGCCTAGTTCCAGTTTCAAGAACTTGAAAATGTTTTGAATGATAGCACCTGCAGGTTAACAGTAATGCTGGATTTCCAAGGAACTGAAAAAGATAATATCAGTAGCCGGAAATATTTGTGTGTGGGAATGTCTTGAATTGAGTGTGTGTCTAGGAGGGAAGTCTCACTTCTTCACTGGGATGGTTGTATTGGAAAGTTTGCACAAGACCCTTCTTCTTATAACCATCGTATCTATATTTCAAACAAAGGACTCAGCAGCCCAGGGCCCTCAATTTCTAGACCTAATTTAGAAAACAGCCTGTAGGCAGTCAATTCAGACATTGCGTGAAGACTCCTGCTTCTTCCCCATAACCTATTCTGCAAGCATAGAAGAAAAGGGGGGGAAAAGAGGGGAAGAAAGATTTAAGATACACATTGTACTTGAATCTTGATTTCATTAACTGATTTATTTAATACGCCACTGTCAGCAGGGTTCATACAACACCTAGTAAGCCACACTATAGTGCATGAATAGCCTGTTCTGACCTAGGCTTCCCCAACAGCACAAAGCCGAACCTTTGTCCTGACAAAACCCCTTTTATTTAGTTTACAGTGAATTCCCCTCCAGCAAAGTCCTGGCCAACAGTCTTTCAAGATATTTCACAATTACAGACCTTTATCAAGCTTGGAGAGTTGCCAGGCCGATATCTTTCAGATGCCACACTGTTGCAGACAATACTTGGCAGGAACGCAGGAACAGATCTTCACCCAAATGAAATAATTGCCTCCTGCAAAACCCCACTCCCCTTTCGCTCCTCTTTTATTCCCTATGGGAGGGGCCATTCACCATCCACCTGTGGCTTTACTCCCAAGTCGACCCTTGTTTCTTAGCTGTTCCCCTCTTCTGGTAGCTCTACGCATGTGCACACTGGGAACAGGCTCCAACTGCTCTTCTGCCTCACTGATATCCGACTCCGAAGGCAGCTGATAACTCAGATGGCCCTGGCCCCATCTCTGCCTCTGACACAGAGCCCTCATCAGAGCCTTCCCCAGACTCCAGGACTGGCCCATGTTCCTTCCCAACCTCCTCACTGTCCGAATCTGCTGCCACTGGCTGTTGGCAGGCCACAACATAGCCAGAAAGAACGAAAGACGCTATTTACCCTCGATTTTCTATGCCTTTTTGCTTCATCCCTGTTTGAGACCAAATGGTAGAGTGGAAAGAGAAGAGCCAGAACCTTTTGCATTCTAGGGATACAACGCAATGATCTACAAGCACTTTCCCAGAGGTAATTTCTCGGGAGCCTCTCCAGGCTGCCTTCTCCACTCTTCTGGCCAGACCTAGCTGCTGCCTGAGCCATGTATCTGTGAGGAATGTTTTTGGAATGCAAATGTTGCAAGGAGGTTTCTTCAGGTGCTGATCCCAAGCTCTTGGGGATCATTAGCATGGGGAGGGACTGAGGCAGACTTATTACCTGGCCACCCACTCGATTTACATAGTTTCAGTGCATCCTTGGTGGAAGAGGAGTGGCTCCTATTCATCGGTCTCCATTCTCATTTGCAGACAGTGTCCGGAGACCAACTGGGAACCCTGTGGTGTTAACCTCAGTCAACATGTCCTGGAAGCTGCAGATCCCCCAACATCAGCCTCATCTCAGCCTGGTTCTTGAAGACCAAACGAGCGTAGGGAACGATAGATTGGCTGAGGCTGGATCTCCAGTGGGTGCTGTTCCCCAACCGCTGGGTTTCTTGCCCATGAGTGGACGGCTTCTGAAATCTGAATCCGAAGATTCCGGCGTGGAGTTGGCCAGTGGCGATCACGTCCCTTTGACCCCGGCGGAATCCGAAAAAAGCTTTTCTCTGGATTGTCTAGATGGAGATGATTCTGTTCCAGCCCTTCAGGAGGGTCTCCCCAAAGAAAGGCCAGAAGCACCACTGCCCGTTCTGGATTGGGCCTGTCAGGATTTCCATTTCAAAAGGAAGCTTGGCAATGTGGCCCAGAGGTCCCAGAAGAACCATCTGTCCATCCCCAAGAAGCCTCCTCCACATTTGGAGGAGTTGAAGTCCTGCCACCACCCATGCCAGCCAGTGAGGGTTGAAGGGATTCTGAATGAGACTTCTGGAGGATACAATCAAGCTACCTCAGGTGGCAGCTTCATTGAGGAGGAGAAAGGCAAAGGAGAGGTGAGTGTTGGGAAGATGCCAGTTGGCCCAAGCGGACCTGAGGAGTCTTCGGAAACTGCTCTGGTGGAGCAGAGGCAGCTGCTGGCAGCGGGACTGAAAGTGGAGGGGCTTTGCAGGGGCATCCCTGGTGATGTGCGTGAGCAGAGAGCCAAGGGTCACTATTAGCTATGTCTTCCCTCTGGGGCTACTCAGTCTCTCCTCCCACTAGCCAGGGGGGTTCGTTTCGTATGGGAGAAGCTCTTGAATTCCACCTGGGATGAGGCCTTGCATCTTTGCCTCTTGCT